CCTTAGCATAATTTATGAGGTTATATTTCATGCTTTAATTTCGTCTTGAGCACTACACTAAAACTATAAGGTATCAACATAACATTTCATAGGTCAATAGATCGTAACAAGGTGAAATGCAGTGCACAAGAACCATCACCCTCTTTTGCATCATTTTGAGTTATTGCCCTTTGTTATTTTTCTTACTTAAATTTTGTTAGGAGCACTACACTAAAACTAGAAGGGGTATAAACATGAAATTTCATAGGTAGATAGATCTCAATAAGGAGAAGTCCAGTGCATAAGAACCATTACTCTTTTTGCATGTTTGTGGTGATGCTTTTCCATTGTGAGTGATGGGAAGTTTTAGTACCCAAATCTAATAACCACAATTTTCAATTGTGAATGATAGGAAGTTTGAAGTAAACAGTCTTATAACGACGCATTTCCATTGTGAGTGACAGAAAGTTGATAGTAACCATACTTTTCCTTAGTTAGTGCTATGAAGTTTGGAGTAACTATGTCTAGTAACTATACTTTCTATTATGGTGGGTTGCACACTATTCCTTTGATAGCAGTGGGATGTTTGTGACGTCCATATCTAGATATCACACTATTCCATGGTGAATGAAGTTTGGGTAATAACTTCAGGTAACTGGCTTTTCCACTATGGTTAGCTGGAAGTTTTTTGTAACAATATGCAGTTACCATACTGGTACATTCCAATTTGAATGGAGGGAAGTTTCGGGTAGTTGTAACTAGTAACTTATCCATTGTGAACAATGGGTGAATTTCCCTAAAATAGTAAGTGTCCAATTTACATTGTATAAGATGGAAATTATGCTTAGCAATATAAAATATCTTCTTTATCCTCTAGTATAATACATTATCAGTGAAGTGATGATGCATTAACACTGTTAATAAAGAGCTGTGACCTATATTTAGTTGTTGTTACTGAAGTGAATCACTAAAAAATGTAAAGCAAAAAATGTTTTGCAACGATCAATATGTTAATGCACAGACATCTATAGAAGTATAATTGAGGTATTTCTACATACATATACTGTACAGTCCTGGCAACACATTGACTGTTTATCACACTGTAAGTGAGATTTACTAGCCTCACTATGACAGAAGAGGAAATATCACAGCAACATCTCCAGTACTCAGGTATATTTTTATTTGCCATAACTTCAATCTGAAAAAAACCATCACAGTAAGGTTTACAGATGTAATAGAGGATGTTATGATGTTATTATCAAACAGACCTCACTGTTAAATCTGAAAAACACCATCACAGTAAGGTTTACAGATGTAATAGAGGATGTTATGATGTTATTATCAAACAGACCTTACTGTTAAATCTGAAAAACACCATCACAGTAAGGTTTACAGGTGTAATAGAGGATGTTATTATCAAACAGACCTCACTGTTAAATCTGAAAAACACCATCATAGTCAGGTTTACTGATGTAATAGAGGATGTTATGATGTTATTATCAAACAGACCTCACTGTTAAATCTGAAAAACACCATCATAGTCAGGTTTACTGATGTAATAGAGGATGTTATGATGTTATTATCAAACAGACCTCACTGTTAAATCTGAAAAACACCATCATAGTCAGGTTTACTGATGTAATAGAGGATGTTATGATGTTATTATCAAACAGACCTCACTGTTAAATCTGAAAAACACCATCATAGTCAGGTTTACTGATGTAATAGAGGATGTTATGATGTTATTATCAAACAGACCTCACTGTTAAATCTGAAAAACACCATCATAGTCAGGTTTACTGATGTAATAGAGGATGTTATGATGTTATTATCAAACAGACCTCACTGTTAAATCTTAAAAACACCATCATAGTAAGGTTTACAGATGTAATAGAGGATGTTATGATGTTATTATCAAACAGACCTTACTGTTAAATCTTAAAAACACCATCACAGTAAGGTTTACAGATGTAATAGAGGATGTTATTATCAAACACAGTTACACCTCAAATACACCATCACAGTAAGGTTTACAGATGTAATAGAGGATGTTATGATGTTATTATCAAACAGACCTCACTGTTAAATCTGAAAAACACCATCATAGTCAGGTTTACTGATGTAATAGAGGATGTTATGATGTTATTATCAAACAGACCTCACTGTTAAATCTGAAAAACACCATCATAGTCAGGTTTACAGATGTAATAGAGGATGTTATGATGTTATTATCAAACAGACCTTACTGTTAAATCTTAAAAACACCATCACAGTAAGGTTTACTGATGTAATAGAGGATGTTATTATCAAACACACTGTTACACAACTACACCATCACAGTAAGGTTTACTGATGTAATAGAGGATGTTATTATCAAACACAGTTACACCTCAAATACACCATCACAGTAAGGTTTACAGATGTAATAGAGGATGTTATTATCAAACACAGTTACACCTCAAATACACCATCACAGTAAGGTTTACTGATGTAATAGAGGATGTTATTATCAAACACACTGTTACACCTCAACTACACCATCACAGTAAGGTTTACAGATGTAATAGAGGATGTTATGATGTTATTATCAAACAGACCTCACTGTTAAATCTTAAAAACACCATCATAGTAAGGTTTACAGATGTAATAGAGGATGTTATGATGTTATTATCAAACAGACCATACTGTTAAATCTCAAAAACTCCATCATAGTCAGGTTTACTGATGTAATAGAGGATGTTATTATCAAACACACTGTTACACCTCAAATACACCATCACAGTAAGGTTTACTGATGTAATAGAGGATGTTATTATCAAACACACTGTTACACCTCAAATACACCATCACAGTAAGGTTTACTGATGAAGGTAGAGAACGTTATTATCAAACACAGTTACACCTCAAATACACCATCACAGTAAGGTTTACTGATGAAGGTAGAGAACGTTATTATCAAACACAGTTACACCTCAAATACACCATCACAGTAAGGTTTACTGATGTAATAGAGGATGTTATTATCAAACACAGTTACACCTCAAATACACCATCACAGTAAGGTTTACTGATGTAATAGAGGATGTTATTATCAAACACAGTTACACCTCAAATACACCATCACAGTAAGGTTTACTGATGTAATAGAGGATGTTATTATCAAACACAGTTACACCTCAAATACACCATCACAGTAAGGTTTACTGATGTAATAGAGGATGTTATTATCAAACACAGTTACACCTCAAATACACCATCACAGTAAGGTTTACTGATGTAATAGAGAATGTTATTATCAAACACACTGTTACACCTCAAATACACCATCACAGTAAGGTTTACTGATGTAATAGAGGATGTTATTATCAAACACACTGTTACACCTCAACTACACCATCACAGTAAGGTTTACTGATGAAGGTAGAACATGTCATTATCAAACAGACCTCACTGTTTCACCTTAAATACACCATCACAGTAAGGTTTACTGATGGCAGAAGAGGATGTTGTCATCTTTATACTCCTCATCATCGTTATCATCATCATCATCATCGTCAGGAAGCCACACTTTAGCTTCAAATTTTTTATCATCACCCATTTTTTTTCATGTTAAGATGTATATGTCATCACTACCATTATATACCTAACATTAAGATATCAACATATTGACAGCTGTCACCTCTGTACATCATTATCATAAAGATATCATTATCATTAGAATCCATTATATATGTAAACATCAAATGAACATTTCTTTTTGTCTCTGCAATGAATCACCTGAAATCTGATACTACCAGAAAGAAAGTTTATTTCCATTACTAAAGTAATACTCACATTTTCCTATCATATTGTAAAAAAAACCAGATATATATATAAACATATAGATGTAACTTAAAAATGCTTTGTGTATCGATAAGGCATTCTTTTCAAATATATATATATATATACATACCAGTATATGTATATATTTGCTTTGTATGATACCAAAACTGTAGGAATAGGGGTTTGGGGAGTTTCCTCTAGCTGAGGTGGAGGGACCAATACCATTTAAATGAAATAGTTAGTTTGATGGTGTTACTTACATTCAAAGTTTATAGCAGGGAGCATTTTGCTTGGCCCCCAACCCGGGTGGTGCGACCCCTTTGCTGTGCTTGTTTACTATTCAAGTGGTAAAGAATGTGGGATGGAGCACAGAGAAGGAGACTCCAGACCTACCAAAGTCTCAGTATATATTAGTTGATGGGAGGATTGGTAGTTATCAACCCTGATTCAGTCTCCCTGGGTACCCTGGGGATCTTATTTTGTGTATTGTACCATTTTTTATTTATTCCAAATGTAGTTGTTGTCCTCCCTACATTATGATAATTGCAATGGAGTAGCCACAAGGATGTGGACTGAGTATAAAGATATACACAACTTGTAGTCTAGACCAACTGTACAACATTGCTAGTTTTTTCCTGTTTGTTTTGTGTGTATGTGTTCATACATTTTTAAGATGGGCACCTGACAAGGTAGCAGTGCTGTAAAATACTCGTTTATGTTGGAGTATTTGATTTAACTTATTTAACAAATGTTTGGAGACCTGCTGTGCTACAGCACCCTAGGTATGGACCTCTGTCTTTTGTCTGATGCCATTATCTATATGGCGTAGTTGTGATTTTATACATTTTTTTAAATTTGCATTTTGATAATGTACTTTTTAATCCAGTGCAGCAAAACGTTAGCTGGTTGTTTATTAAGTTCTTGGTAGATTTCTATTCTAGTCATTAAATGTTTCGACAAGAGAAGAATACATGGTTGTCAACATCCTCACCTGGGATGTTACTATAGAGATAAACGATGGTTATCAACATACTCATCTGAGGTATGACTATTAAAGAATGACTCTCAACATCCTCTCCTTAGGTCTTATTCTCTTCTCAACATGATGACCTGTGTTTTTAGGAGTATGTAGATTGTTTGTGCTGTTGTAGTCAGATTAGATACTGCATTATCTTCAATATTGTATTTTCTACTTACAGATAACCTGTATGCTGTAACTTATGAGGAGGCAATTAGCAAAACAGGTACGCATTGAGGCAATGGTTTCAGATTATTGTCATTTAGTGTTAATGTATAATTCATTAAATTTCAGTATTTCTAACCATGGAACAATTGTCATATTGTATTTATTGGCAGGATCAATACAATCTGGGTGACAGATAAACAAACATTAGAATATTATCTATCTGTCATCCAAACTGCATTTGTATTCAAAATAGATACAAACTGATTACCATTCAATACTTAAAAATATTAATATTTCAGTAATTTAAGGTGAAAACACACAAACATATGATATATCTATTCAATAAAAATATTAGGTCCTGTATTGAAGATACAAGTGCCTGATGTCTGTTTGTCTGTCTGTCTGTCTGTCCACAAATTCAGTTCCCAGCTGATAGTGTTTATTGACTGATTTGCATGAAATTCTTGATAATTATAAAATGATTTACATTTAGCTGTAACATTTGTTATATGAGGCGATATGCAAATACAGGCCAACATCACTCAACATCGCTCAAAAATAATGTCATCTTTTTGTCTTGTGATCTAAAATGTAAATGGGAAGCCCCTTGTGTGATGGTGTGTTAGATTGTGGTACAGAGTATGAGAAGTCTGGTATGACGATATGTAAGATTGTGATGAAGAGTATGAGAAGTTCTTGTTTTGATACTTTTCCCTGCATTACACTTCAAATGTTCCCGTTCATATTGGCCTGTCTTCTCTGTTTCTATTTTGTTTTACTGTAAGCTGTACTGTGTTTTAATTTAAGGGTATGGAAAATTCCATTTTATGGTGCTGGCATTGTGTGGATGGGCTGTGTCCAGTGATGCTATAGAAGTCCTGTCCATCTCATTTGTGTTGCCAGCAGCACAATGTGATCTTAACCTGACTTCGAACGACAAAGGATGGCTCAACTCAATCATATTTGTTGGTAGGTGTGATAACAGCTCTTCTTAGCATACCAGCTAATAGATAATGATGTGAGGTGATATTTTTGTTGATAACAGGTAAGGATGTCTTAGGCAATATTTGTTAACATGTATGATGCTAGGTAAATATTTGTTAACAGGTATGAAGTTAGGTAAATATTTGTTAACAGGTAGGATGTTAGGTAAATATTGGTTAACAGGTATGATGTTAGGTAAATATTGGTTAACAGGTATGATATTAGGTAAATATTTGTTAGGTAATGTTAGGTAAATATTTGTTAACAGGTATGATGTTAGGTAAATATTGGTTAACAGGTATGATGTTAGGTAAACATTTGTTAACAGGTATAATGTTAGGTAAATATTCATTAACAGGTATGATTTTAGGTAAATATTCATTAACAGGTATGATGTTAGGTAAATATTTGTTATCAGGTATGATGTAAGGTAAATATTTGTTAACAGGTATGATGTAAGGTAAATATTTGTTAACAGGTATGATGTTAGGTAAATATTTGTTATCAGGTATGATGTAAGGTAAATATTTGTTATCAGGTATGATGTAAGGTAAATATTGGTTAACAGGTATGATGTTAGGTAAATATTTGTTATCAGGTAAGATGTAAGGTAAATATTTGTTATCAGGTATGATGTTAGGAAAATATTTGTTAACAGGTATAATGTTAGGTAAATATTCATTAACAGGTATGATTTTAGGTAAATATTCATTAACAGGTTTGATGTTAGGTAAATATTTGTTATCAGGTATGATGTAAGGTAAATATTGGTTAACAGGTATGATGTTAGGTAAATATTTGTTATCAGGTATGATGTAAGGTAAATATTTGTTATCAGGTATGATGTTAGGTAAATATTTGTTAACAGGTATGATGTAAGGTAAATATTGGTTAACAGGTATGATGTTAGGTAAATATTTGTTAACAGGTATAATGTTAGGTAAATATTGGTTAACAGGTATAATGTTAGGAAAATATTCATTAACAGGTATGATGTTAGGTAAATATTTGTTAACAGGTATGATGTAAGGTAAATATTTGTTATCAGGTATGATGTTAGGAAAATATTTGTTAACAGGTATAATGTTAGGTAAATATTCATTAACAGGTATGATTTTAGGTAAATATTCATTAACAGGTATGATGTTAGGTAAATATTTGTTATCAGGTATGATGTAAGGTAAATATTGGTTAACAGGTATGATGTTAGGTAAATATTTGTTATCAGGTATGATGTAAGGTAAATATTTGTTATCAGGTATGATGTTAGGAAAATATTTGTTAACAGGTATAATGTTAGGTAAATATTCATTAACAGGTATGATTTTAGGTAAATATTCATTAACAGGTATGATGTTAGGTAAATATTTGTTATCAGGTATGATGTAAGGTAAATATTGGTTAACAGGTATGATGTTAGGTAAATATTTGTTAACATGTATGATGTTAGGTAAATATTTGTTATCAGGTATGATGTAAGGTAAATATTTGTTAACAGGTATGATGTAAGGTAAATATTGGTTAACAGGTATGATGTTAGGTAAATATTTGTTAACATGTATGATGTTAGGTAAATATTTGTTAACAGGTATGATGTAAGGTAAATATTTGTTAACAGGTATGATGTTAGGTAAATATTGGTTAACAGGTATGATGTTAGGTAAATATTTGTTAACAGGTATGATGTTAGGTAAATATTGGTTAACAGGTATGATGTTAGGAAAATATTTGTTAACAGGTATAATGTTAGGTAAATATTGGTTAACAGGTATAATGTTAGGAAAATATTCATTAACAGGTATGATGTTAGGTAAATATTTGTTAACAGGTATGATGTAAGGTAAATATTTGTTATCAGGTATGAAGTTAGGTAAATATTTGTTAACAGGTATAATGTTAGATAAATATTCATTAACAGGTATGATGTTAGGTAAATATTTGTTAACAGGTAGGATGTTAGGTAAATATTTGTTAACAGGTATGATGTTAGGTAAATATTGGTTAACAGGTATGATGTTAGGTAAATATTTGTTATCAGGTATGATGTAAGGTAAATATTTGTTAACAGGTATGATGTAAGGTAAATATTGGTTAACAGGTATGATGTTAGGTAAATATTTGTTAACATGTATGATGTTAGGTAAATATTTGTTATCAGGTATGATGTAAGGTAAATATTTGTTAACAGGTATGATGTAAGGTAAATATTGGTTAACAGGTATGATGTTAGGTAAATATTTGTTAACAGGTATGATGTAAGGTAAATATTGGTTAACAGGTATGATGTTAGGTAAATATTTGTTAACAGGTATGATGTTAGGTAAATATTGGTTAACAGGTATGATGTTAGGAAAATATTCATTAACAGGTATGATGTTAGGTAAATATTTGTTATCAGGTATGATGTTAGGTAAATATTTGTTATCAGGTATAATGTTAGGTAAATATTTGTTATCAGGTATGATGTAAGGTAAATATTTGTTAACATGTATGATGTTAGGTAAATATTTGTTATCAGGTATAATGTTAGGTAAATATTTGTTATCAGGTATGATGTAAGGTAAATATTTGTTAACAGGTATGATGTTAGGTGGATATGGATGGGGCTCACTTGCTGACCATTATGGCCGTAGACAAGTCTTACTAGGCTCACTAACCGTTAATGGACTTGCAGCACTTGCATCAAGTTTCTCTCAAACATTTTGGCTTTTCTTGTTGTTGAGGCTGTTCAGTGGAATAGGGTAAGTAAAGCAACAGCGTTGCTTTCCAAATGAGGCCGATCATGTGTATGTGTATCTACCCTGTACCTATATCAAGTTACATTTCATCTTATTCACCAAAGTTTTAATATAACCAGTAAATTTTGAGATGGTAGAGCATATACCAAAATAGTTTGATATCAACTATTGCAGAATTTTTTATATAGGCAATTTTTAGTTTTGTGTCAAGGTTAAGTCTTTAATTTTTTTTTCCCTACCACTGTTGTATAGTGTTAACAAATACATACTCATGATATGCCTATATTTTCACTTTTTCAGTGTAGGAGGAAGTATTCCAGTTATCTTCTCCTATTTTACGGAGTTTCAGCCAAAAGAAAAACGAGGAACTATGATCAGTGTCCTAGCAACATTTTGGATGTTTGGAAACATCATTGCTGCAGGTACTTACCATAAAACTTACACTAGACTCTGTTATCAAATTATTACAGCAAACTGATCTTTTTAATTGACATGAAAAGAAAACAAAAAACATTTCAGTTTTTGCATGTAAATAGTCTTTGGGAGGTATTGGTATACATGCTCAGTGTACGGTACAACTCTGTGTTAGTCTACACTTTATCAGTTGCATAATCATACATTATTCATATTTCCTGTAAGTAGTCTGTTTTTTGTGTCACTTTCATGATTTTGGAAATGATTTGTGATTCTCTTGCCTATTGGTAATGACTGTAGATCATCTTTAAAAACAGGTATGCACATTTTCTGGCCAATTCTGTCCCATTTTCTAAACTGAGCAAAAAGTACATATTACATTATATTCCAGTATTGTCGAGTTTGGGATTAATTATTAAGCCACTGCATTTGTCAAGAATAGCTACATTATAAAAATCATTTGTCACCATAGTAACTCATGTTGTAATGGAAAAGAATTATCACTTGTAACCATGTTAACTGATGTTGTGGTATTAACTCATCTTGTAATCGTATTTACTGTGTTTTGATTGCAAAGATTTATCAATTGTAACCATGGTTACTCTGTGTTGATAATGATGAAGATTTATTTTTGTAACCATAGTAACTCTGTGTTGTGATGGTGAAGATTTATTTTTGTAACCATGGTTACTCTGTGTTGTGATGGTGATGACCATTACTGTGATACCTTGGTAAAAGAGGTAGAAATATGATAAATAAAAATATTTTTAGGGTTGGCTTGGATCATCGTACCTCTTGATATTGGCTACTTCTCATCAACTTTCACCTATGACAGCTGGAGGATCTTTATTGCGATCTGCACTTTTCCAAGTCTGTCTTCTGCAGCTCTTTTCTTTTTGATGCCAGAAAGCCCCAAATTTCTGTTGAATGTAAGCATATTTCTTTTGATTTCAAGTATTTATTGCCAAATGTAAGAGTTTCTGTTAACTATTAGTTTATTTCTGCTGACTGTAAATGTTTCTACTTAACTTTAAACTTACTTTGTTATCATCATGATGTCATTGAGTCCATAGTATCTGCTGACTGTAAGCATGATGCCAAATTGTTCCAAATTTTCATCAAATGTAAGTGTGATACAATGGTATTATGAATTTCTGTTGACTATAAGTGTGATGCCATAGTGTTTCAAATTTCTGTTAACTGTTATTTCTGTTATCATTAAGATGCTGTTGATTCCCATTTTTTTAAAATAAGGTTATTATTATCTTGTGTTTAATAGGTAGGTAAAGCAGAGCAGGCAGCTGTAGTGCTGAAAAAGGTTTACGATATCAACAATCCAAAAGCTATCATACCATTTGAAGTAAGCTATCTGTAAAATTCTATTCTCAGAAAACACTCCAAACACTAGTCAAAAACTACTCTAAACACTACTCACAAAACACTAAACATTACTCACAAAACGCTACTCACAAAACACTAAACGCTACTCACAAAACACTAAACACAACTCACAAAACACTAAACACAAAACATTAAACACAAAACACCCTAAACACTACTCACAAAACACCTGAAACACTAAACACAAACAACCTAAACACTACTCACAAAACACCCTAAACACTTATCACAAACAACCTAAACACTAAACACAAAACAACCTAAACACTACTCACGCAACACTCTAAACACTAAACACAAAACAACCTAAACACTAAACACAAAACACCCTAAACACAAAACAACCTGAACATTACTCACAAAACACTCTAAACACTTCACAAAACACTAAACACAACAAAACAAACTAAACACAAAACGCTAAAGACAAAACACAAGACACTACTCACAAAACACTACTCACAAAACACTAAACACTTCTCACAATATACTCTAGACACAACTCACAAAACACTAAACACTACTCACAAAACAGTAAACACTACTCACAAAACACTAAACACAAAACACTCTAAACACTAAACACAAAACACAAAACACTCTAAACACTAAACACAAAACACTCTAAACACTAAACACAAAACACTCTAAACACTAAACACAAAACACTCTAAACACTAAACACAAAACACTCTAAACACTTAACACAAAACACTCTAAACACTAAACACAAAACACTCTAAACACTAAACACAAAACACTCTAAACACTAAACACAAAACACAAAACACTCTAAACACTAAACACAAAACACTCTAAACTCTAAACACAAAACACTCTAAACACTAAACACAAAACACTCTAAACACTAAACACAAAACACAAAACACTCTAAACACTAAACACAAAACACTCTAAACACTAAACACAAAACACTCTAAACACTAAACACAAAACACTCTAAACACTACTCACAAAACACTCTAAACACTAAACACAAAACACTCTAAACACTAAACACAAAACACTCTAAACACTAAACACAAAACACTCTAAACACAAAACACTCTAAACACTAAACACAAAACAACCTAAACACTACTCACAAAACACAAAACACTCTAAACACTAAACACAAAACACTCTAAACACTACTCACAAAACAACCTAAACACTACTCACAAAACACAAAACACTCTAAACACTAAACACAAAACACTCTAAACACTACTCACAAAACACCCTAAACACTAAACACAAAACACCCTAAACAGTATTCACAAAACAACCTAGACACTAAACACAAAACAACCTAAACACTACTCACAAAACACTCTAAACACTAAACACAAAACACTCTAAACACTAACAAAACACACTACTCACAAAACAACCTAAATACTACTACAAAACACAAAACACTCTAAACACTAAACACAAAACACTCTAAACACTACTCACACACCCTAAACACACAAAACACCCTAAAAAACACCTAGACACTAAACACAAAACACTAAACACTACTCACTAAACACTAAACACAAAACACTCTAAACACTACTCACAAAACAACCTAAACACTACTCACAAAACACCCTAAACACAAAACAACCTAAACACTACTCACAAAACACCCTAAACACAAAACAACCTAGACACTACTCACAAAACACCCTAAACACAAAACAACCTAGACACTACTCACAAAACACCCTAAACACAAAACAACCTAAACACTACTCACAAAACAACCTAAACACTACTCACAAAACACCCTAAACAGTATTCACAAAACACTTAACACTACTCACCAAACATTGAATATTACTTTCAAATCTCAACAATCACAGAACATTCTAAGCACTTCTCTTGATGGTTGCACTCTAAATGGTTATCACAAACTTGGCATTAATATTGGTAAAGACATCAGTTATGTACTTAAGTTAATCTGGCATGTTCTCAAGTTTAACAAGTCTAAATAACACACATGAAGTGTTAATAGAAGGAAGTGATTATCAATAAAAACAGTGGAATCAGTGTAAAATATCATACAACTATTCTTTATGCACTTGTGTATTGTTTAAAATTGAGGAGATTTACTTTTCAGGTGGAGACCATAGTTTTGTCATCAGATAACAAAACAGAATCACTTCACCGCATCAATGCCAACAAGAATGTCAAACACACGTGTGGCTCAAAGTCTGTCACAAGGGTAAGTATGGGGCTGCTTGATTTGAACCTGAACCAAATAAGCAAGGGATGAAATCCATCTAACTAAAAGGAAAATAACCCCCCTTAAATTTAGTGTAGGAAAACTTAAAAACTTTGACTGCAAGTTGACATCTGTCCATTTTGTCCTTTTGAAAATAGAACCAATGAAATGAAATATGTTTCATTATATATGTACAGTATTCCAAACAGTTTTAACAAGAACCTTTTGAAAGTATATAATTTGATTTTGAACTGTGCTTGATTTCCTTACTTTATACATAGATAGTTTAATATTAGAATCTCTTGTAGACTTTAAGTGTATAAATGATTATGTTACAGCTGTTGAACTCCACATTTGAACTACTTCAAGCTCCCCTACGTCGATCCACCATCATTCTGCTGACTGTTTCCTTCACCATTAGTTTTGGGTAAATATAATTTTTAACTTTAAGTGACTGCTGTACAGTATTCAGCTCACTTGGCTTAACATCGGGTTTCACCAACAAAATACATAAGAACTCTTTCTATTCATAAAGTATGTATTTGAATACATCTTTAAATACTGTTTAGCCACCAAGTAAAATGTTAGCTGTTTAGCTGCAGATGTCTTTTAAAGATCAATTTAATTTATTTCTAGGAAACTAAAAAGAATCTCAGATAAAAGAGACATATTGAGATATCTTCTAACATAATGCTACAGATAATGGGCATGATACTGTAAACACATTGAAGAGACATGACATTGTCATTAGGGACACTGACATTAGGGACATTGACATTAGGGACATTGACACTATCATAAGGGACACTGACACTATCATTAGGGACACAGACACTATCATTAGAGACACTGACACTATCATTAGGGACATTGACACTATCATTAGGGATACTGACACTATCTTTAGGGACACAGACACTATCATTAGGGACACTGACACCATCATTAGGGACACAGACACTATCCTAAGGGACACTGACACTATCATTAGAGACCTTGACACTGTTATTAGGGACACTGACACTTTCATCAGGGACACTGACACTATCATAAGGGACACTGACACTATCATTAGGGACACTGTCTCTATCTTTAGTGACACTGTCTCTTTCCTTAGGGACACTGACACTATCATTAGACACTGACACTATCCTAAGACACTGTTATTAGGGACACTGACACTTTCATCAGGGACACTGACACTATCATTAGGGACACTGACACTATCATTAGGGACACTGACACTATCATTAGGGACACAGACACTATCCTAAGGGACACTGACACTATCATTAGAGACCTTGACACTGTTATTAGGGACACTGACACTTTCATCAGGGACACTGACACTATCATAAGGGACACTGACACTATCATTAGGGACACTGACACTATCATTAGAGACCTTGACACTGTTATTAGGGACACTGACACTATCATTAGGGACACTGACACTTTCATCAGAGACACTGACACTATCCTAAGGGACACTGACACTGCCAATAGGGACACTGACACTATCATTAGGGACACTGACACTGTCATTAGGGACACTGACACTATCATTAGGGACACTGACACTATCATTAGGGACACTGACACTATCATTAGGGACATTTACACCATCATTAGGGACACTGACACTATCATTAGAGACCTTGACACTGTTATTAGGGACACTGACACTATCATTAGGGACACTGACACTATCCTAAGGGACACTGACACTATCATTAGGGACACTGACACTATCATTAGGGGCTATGAGATCATCTTTGAGAGATGTGATACTGCCATTAGAGAGATATAAGGTGACTTTATACTGTCATGAGGGGCCTGGATGTTAGAAGAAATCATACAGCCATTGAGACTTGTTACTTCCAAACGGTAGAGATGACCCCACAATTAAGGGTCTTGACAGTCATAAGGGGACATGACACTGCCATTGTGAGACTATTACTGCAGATAGGGGACATGACACTGCCATTGTAAGACACATTACTGCAGATAGGGGACATGACACTGCCATTGTGAGATACATTACTGCAGATAGGGGACATGACACTGCCATTGTAAGACACATTACTGCAGATAGGGGACATGACACTGCCATTGTGAGATACATTACTGCAGATAGGGGACATGACACTGCCATTATGAGACACATTACTACAGATAGGGGACATGACACTGCCATTGTGAGACACAGTACTGCAGATAGGGGACATGACACTGCCATTGTAAGACACATTACTGCAGATAGGGGACATGACACTGCCATTATGAGACACATTACTACAGATAGGGGACATGACACTGCCATTATGAGACACATTACTGCAGATAGGGGACATGACACTGCCATTATGAGACACATTACTGCAGATAGGGGACATGAAAGTCCATTATATTGAATACACATTGTATTAGAATGAGAACTTTTCTGTGACAGGTACTATGGGCTGTGGATGTGGTTTCCTGAGTTGTTTTCTCGTGTAGAGAAATATGGTGGATCTCCCTGTGATCATGTGAAGGTCGTTAATGCCACATCAAACAACCACACCTGTATAATTCCAGATAATTGGACGTATCAGTCGGGATTCCTCACAGCACTCTCCAACTTGCCGGGAAACTTGTTCACAATATTCCTTATGGATAGACTCGGTCGAAAGACAATACTAGGTAAACAAGTTTAACACTGTCGTAGCTATATACATTGTACAAAATATATAGGGGTCTCACTAGTACAAAACATATACACTATCACAGAGGTCTCACTAGTACAAAACACATACACTGCCACAGAGGTCTCACTAGTACAAAACATATACACTGCCACAGAGGTCTCACTAGTACAAAACATATACACTGCCACAGAGGTCTCACTAGTACAAAACATATACACTGCCACAGAGGTCTCACTAGTACAAAACATATACACTGCCACAGAGGTCTCACTAGTACAAAACATATACACTGCCACAGAGGTCTCACTAGTACAAAATATATACACTGCCACAGAGGTCTCACTAGTACAAAACATATACACTGCCACAGAGGTCTCACTAGTACAAAACATATACACTGCCACAGAGGTCTCACTAGTACAAAACATATACACTGCCACAGAGGTCTCACTAGTACAAAACATATACACTGCCACAGAGGTCTCACTAGTACAAAATATATACACTGCCACAGAGGTCTCACTAGTACAAAACATATACACTGCCACAGAGGTCTCACTAGTACAAAATATATACACTGCCACAGAGGTCTCACTAGTACAAAATATATACACTGCCACAGAGGTCTCATACAAAATATATACACTGCCACAGAGGTCTCACTAGTACAAAACATATACACTGCCACAGAGGTCTCACTAGTACAAAATATATACACTGCCACAGAGGTCTCACTAAACATATACACTGCCACAGAGGTACAAAACATATACACTGCCACAGAGGTCTCACTAGTACAAAACATATACACTGCCACAGAGGTCTCACTAGTACAAAACATATACACTGCCACAGAGGTCTCACTAGTACAAAACATATACACTGCCACAGAGGTCTCACTAGTACAAAACATATACACTGCCACAGAGGTCTCATACAAGACATATACACTACCACAGAGGTCTCACTAGTACAAAACATATACACTGCCACAGAGGTCTCACTAGTACAAAACATATACACTGCCACAGAGGTCTCACTAGTACAAAACATATACACTGCCACAGAGGTCTCACTAGTACAAAACATTTACACTGCCACAGAGGTCTCACTAGTACAAAACATATACACTGCCACAGAGGTCTCACTAGTACAAAACATATACACTGCCACAGAGGTCTCACTAGTACAAAATATATACACTGCCACAGAGGTCTCACTAGTACAAAATATATACACTGCCACAGAGGTCTCACTAGTACAAAACATATACACTGCCACAGAGGTCTCACTAGTACAAAATATATACACTGCCACAGAGGTCTCATACAAAATATATACACTGCCACAGAGGTCTCACTAGTACAAAACATATACACTGCCACAGAGGTCTCACTAGTACAAAACATATACACTGCCACAGAGGTCTCACTAGTACAAAACATATACACTGCCACAGAGGTCTCACTAGTACAAAACATATACACTGCCACAGAGGTCTCACTAGTACAAAACATATACACTGCCACAGAGGTCTCACTAGTACAACACATATACACTGCCACAGAGGTCTCATACAAAACATATACACTGCCACAGAGGTCTCACTAGTACAAAACATATACACTGCCACAGAGGTCTCACTAGTACAAAACATATACACTGCCACAGAGGTCTCACTAGTACAAAACATATACACTGCCACAGAGGTCTCACTAGTACAAAACATATACACTGCCACAGAGGTCTCACTAGTACAAAACATATACACTGCCACAGAGGTCTCACTAGTACAAAACATATACACTGCCACAGAGGTCTCACTAGTACAAAACATATACACTGCCACAGAGGTCTCACTAGTACAAAACATATACACTGCCACAGAGGTCTCACTAGTACAAAACATATACACTGCCACAGAGGTCTCACTAGTACAAAACATATACACTGCCACAGAGGTCTCACTAGTACAAAACATATACACTGCCACAGAGGTCTCACTAGTACAAAACATATACACTGCCACAGAGGTCTCACTAGTACAAAACATATACACTGCCACAGAGGTCTCACTAGTACAAAACATATACACTGCCACAGAGGTCTCACTAGTACACTGCCACAGAGGTCTCACTATATATACACTGCCACAGAGGTCTCACAAAACATATACACTGCCACAGAGGTCTCACTAGTACAAAACATATACACTGCCACAGAGGTCTCACTGCCACAGAGGTACAAAACATATACACTGCCACAGAGGTCTCACTAGTACAAAACATATACACTGCCACAGAGGTCTCACTAGTACAAAACATATACACTGCCACAGAGGTCTCACTAGTACAAAACATATACACTGCCACAGAGGTCTCACTAGTACAAAACATATACACTGCCACAGAGGTCTCACAAAATATATACACTGCCACAGAGGTACTACAAAACATATACACTGCCACAGAGGTCTCACTAGTACAAAACATATACACTGCCACAGAGGTCTCACTAGTACAAAACATATACACTGCCACAGAGGTCTCACTAGTACAAAACATATACACTGCCACAGAGGTCTCATACAAAATATATACACTGCCACAGAGGTCTCACTAGTACAAAATATATACACTGCCACAGAGGTCTCACTAGTACAAAACATATACACTGCCACAGAGGTCTCACTAGTACACTGCCACAGAGGTCTCAACATATACACTGCCACAGAGGTCTCACTAGTACAAAACATATACACTGCCACAGAGGTCTCACTAGTACAAAACATATACACTGCCACAGAGGTCTCAAAACATATACACTGCCACAGAGGTCTCACTAGTACAAAACATATACACAGCCACAGAGTTCTCACTAGTAAAAAACATATACACTGCCACAGAGGTCTCACTAGTACAAAACATATACACTGCCACAGAGGTCTCACTAGTACAAAACATATACACTGCCACAGAGGTCTCACTAGTACAAAACATATACACTGCCACAGAGGTCTCACTAGTACAAAACATATACACTGCCACAGAGGTCTCACTAGTACAAAACATATACACTGCCACAGCGGTCTCACTAGTACAAAACATATACACTGCCACAGAGGTCTCACTAGTACAAAACATATACACTGCCACAGAGGTCTCACTAGTACAAAACATATACACTGCCACAGAGGTCTCACTAGTACAAAACATATACACTGCCACAGAGGTCTCACTAGTACAAAACATATACACTGCCACAGAGGTCTCACTAGTACAAAACATATACACTGCCACAGAGGTCTCACTAGTACAAAACATATACACTGCCACAGAGGTCTCACTAGTACAAAACATATACACTGCCACAGAGGTCTCACTAGTACAAAACATATACACTGCCACAGAGGTCTCACTAGTAAAAAACATATACACTGCCACAGAGGTCTCACTAGTACAAAACATGCCACAGAGGTCTCACTAGTACAAAACATATACACTGCCACAGAGGTCTCACTATACACTGCCACAGAGGTCTCACTAGTACAAAACATATACACTGCCACAGAGGTCTCACTAGTACAAAACATATACACTGCCACAGAGGTCTCACTAGTACAAAACATATACACTGCCACAGAGGTCTCACTAGAACAAAACATATACACTGCCACAGAGGTCTCACTAGTACAAAACATATACACTGCCACAGAGGTCTCACTAGTACAAAACATATACACTGCCACAGAGGTCTGCAAAACATATACACTGCCACAGAGGTCTCACTAGTACAAAACATATACACTGCCACAGAGGTCTCACTAGTACAAAACATATACACTGCCACAGAGGTCTCACTAGTACAAAACATATACACTGCCACAGAGGTCTCACTAGTACAAAATATATACACTGCCACAGCGGTCTCACTAGTACAAAACATATACACTGCCACAGAGGTCTCATACAAAACATATACACTGCCACAGAGGTCTCACTAGTACAAAACATATACACTGCCACAGAGGTCTCACTAGTACAAAACATATACACTGCCACAGAGGTCTCACTAGTACAAAACATATACACTGCCACAGAGGTCTCACTAGTACAAAACATATACACTGCCACAGAGGTCTCACTAGTACAAAACATATACACTGCCACAGAGGTCTCACTAGTACAAAACATATACACTGCCACAGAGGTCTCACTAGTACAAAACATATACACTGCCACAGAGGTCTCACTAGTACAAAACATATACACTGCCACAGAGGTCTCACTACACTGCCACAGAGGTACAAAACATATACACTGCCACAGAGGTCTCACTAGTACAAAACATATACACTGCCACAGAGGTCTCACTAGTACAAAACATATACACTGCCACAGAGGTCTCACTAGTACAAAACATATACACTGCCACAGAGGTCTCACTAGTACAAAACATATACACTGCCACAGAGGTCTCACTAGTACAAAACATATACACTGCCACAGAGGTCTCACTAGTACAAAACATATACACTGCCACAGAGGTCTCACTAGTACAAAACATATACACTGCCACAGAGGTCTCACTAGTACAAAACATATACACTGCCACAGAGGTCTCACTAGTACAAAACATATACACTGCCACAGAGGTCTCACTAGTACAAAACATATACACTGCCACAGAGGTCTCACTAGTACAAAACATATACACTGCCACAGAGGTCTCACTAGTACAAAACATATACACTGCCACAGAGGTCTCACTAGTACAAAACATATACACTGCCACAGAGGTCTCACTAGTACAAAACATATACACTGCCACAGAGGTCTCAACACTGCCACAGAGGTATACAAAATATATACACTGCCACAGAGGTCTCACTAGTACAAAACATATACACTGCCACAGAGGTCTCACTAGTACAAAACATATACACTGCCACAGAGGTCTCACTAGTACAAAACATATACACTGCCACAGAGGTCTCACTAGTACAAAACATATACACTGCCACAGAGGTCTCACTAGTACAAAACATATACACTGCCACAGAGGTCACACAAGAACACAAAAAATCAGAACGCACGTACCTCTCACTAATCGCAGATATATACACTGCCACAGAGGTCTCACTAGTACAAAACATATACACTGCCACAGAGGTCTCACTAGTACAAAACATATACACTGCCACAGAGGTCTCACTAGTACAAAACATATACACTGCCACAGAGGTCTCACTAGTACAAAACATATACACTGCCAGAGGTCTCACTAGTACAAAACATATACACTGCCACAGAGGTCTCACTAGTACAAAACATATACACTGCCACAGAGGTCTCACTAGTACAAAACATATACACTGCCACAGAGGTCTCACTAGTATAAAACATATACACTGCCACAGAGGTCTCACTAGTACAAAACATATACACTGCCACAGAGGTCTCACTAGTACAAAACATATACACTGCCACAGAGGTCTCACTAGTACAAAACATATACACTGCCACAGAGGTCTCATACAAAATATATACACTGCCACAGAGGTCTCACTAGCACAAAATATATACACTGCCACAGAGGTCTCACTAGTACAAAACATATACACTGCCACAGCGGTCTCACTAGTACAAAACATATACACTGCCACAGAGGTCTCACTAGTACAAAACATATACACTGCCACAGAGGTCTCACTAGTACAAAACATATACACTGCCACAGAGGTCTCACTAGTACAAAACATATACACTGCCACAGAGGTCTCACTAGTACAAAACATATACACTGCCACAGAGGTCTCACTAGTACAAAACATATACACTGCCACAGAGGTCTCACTACACTGCCACAGAGGTCTCACAAAACATATACACTGCCACAGAGGTCTCACTAGTACAAAACATATACACTGCCACAGAGGTCTCACTAGTACAAAACATATACACTGCCACAGAGGTCTCACTAGTACAAAACATATACACTGCCACAGAGGTCTCACTAGTACAAAACATATACACTGCCACAGAGGTCTCACTAGTACAAAACATATACACTGCCACAGAGGTCTCACTAGTACAAAACATATACACTGCCACAGAGGTCTCATAAAAAATATATACACTGCCACAGAGGTCTCACTAGTACAAAACATATACACTGCCACAGAGGTCTCAAAACATATACACTGCCACAAAACAAAATATATACACTGCCACAGAGGTCTCACTAGTACAAAACATATACACTGCCACAGAGGTCTCACTAGTACAAAACATATACACTGCCACAGAGGTCTCACTATTACAAAACATATACACTGCCACAGAGGTCTCACTAGTACAAAATATATACACTGCCACAGAGGTCTCACTAGTACAAAACATATACACTGCCACAGAGGTCTCACTAGTACAAAACATATACACTGCCACAGAGGTCTCACTAGTACAAAACATATACACTGCCACAGAGGTCTCACTAGTACAAAACATATACACTGCCACAGAGGTCTCACTAGTACAAAACATATACACTGCCACAGAGGTCTCACTAGTACAAAACATATACACTGCCACAGAGGTCTCACTAGTACAAAACATATACACTGCCACAGAGGTCTCACTAGTACAAAACATATACACTGCCACAGAGGTCTCATACAAAACATATACACTGCCACAGAGGTCTCACTAGTACAAAACATATACACTGCCACAGAGGTCTCACTAGTACAAAACATAAATACACTGCCACAGAGGTCTCACTAGTACAAAACATATACACTGCCACAGAGGTCTCATACAAAATATATACACTGCCACAGAGGTCTCACTAGTACAAAACATATACACTGCCACAGAGGTCTCACTAGAAAAAAAAATATACACTGAAACAGAAGTATCACTATAACAAAAAAGATACACTGCCACAGAGGTCTCACTAGTACAAAACATATAAACACTGCCACAGAGGTCTCACTAGTACAAAACATATACACTGCCACAGAGGTCTCACTAGTACAAAACATATACACTGCCACAGAGGTCTCATACAAAACATATACACTGCCACAGAGGTCTCACTAGTACAAAACATATACACTGCCACAGAGGTCTCACTAGTACAAAACATATACACTGCCACAGAGGTCTCACTAGTACAAAACATATACACTGCCACAGAGGTCTCACTAGTACAAAACATATACACTGCCACAGAGGTCTCACTAGTACAAAACATATACACTGCCACAGAGGTCTCATACAAAATATATACACTGCCACAGAGGTCTCATACAAAACATATACACTGCCACAGAGGTCTCACTAGTACAAAACATATACACTGCCACAGAGGTCTCACTAGTACAAAACATATACACTGCCACAGAGGTCTCACTAGTACAAAACATATACACTGCCACAGAGGTCTCACTAGTACAAAACATTTGCACCACTCACAATTAATAAAAAAAAAATCTGGTAAAATTCTGTTTTGTGCTTGGACTTACAGGTTACAGTTCAGCTGTTAAATATTTAATGTAGGACAAAATTGTTCGGCTTAAGAATAGATTGTATTTTATTGTGTTACCTGATTATGGATTCTGTCATTCATCTATACAAACATATTTCCCAAGATTCTCAGGTAATTATCTCACAAACGTTAGACAGTTACTTGTTATAGTGAACTTATATTTTGGGTTCTGTTTGGTATATGGTATGAATGTATAAAAGTTTGTATCATAATGTTTTTGTATCTGCAGTGATTGGTATGCTGGGATCTGGTGTGTCAGTGTTTTTCATCCCCTTAATCCACAATAAGATCCAGAATCTCTTGCTCTCCTGTACATTTGGTCTCATCTCCACACTGGCCTGGAATGCTCTTGATGTGCTTCAGGCTGAGCTATTTCCAACTGGTGTCAGGTAAGTTCAGCTTTCATCTTCACCCCATGTAGAGTAAGTACAGCCTCCATTTTCACTAGGGGATTAGTAAGTACAGACTCCATCTTTACCAGATGTGGAGTAAGTACAGCTTCCATCATTACCAGGTGTGGAGTAAGTACAGCTTCCATTTTTACCAGGTGTCAGGTAAGTACAGCTTCCATCTTTACCAGGTGTCAGATTTTGATGGTTTTGAATCTATGCATGAATATAAAACAATGAATAATGTAACATGCTCATTTACTGTAAAGTTAGAAATATTTGTGAGGGATTTTATTTTGCTTTGTTGCAGTCATTAAAGATAGTGCAAAATTTGATATTCGTCAAGTATTTTTGATAAAATCATATTCTAAGAAAATTATATATCCTCTTGCATCTCTCCTGTATACTAGTTTGAGTAGTGTTGCCTAAAAAATAATTTTATCCCTGTAAATTATTTCCAACTGGAACATCTGAAACATTTATCCCTTACAAAATCAAACAATTTTACATCATCGTAGCCTTGTTTTTTCTTGTAGGTCAACAGCTATGGGATTGTCTTCTGCAGCAAGTAGAATTGGTGCAATCCTTGGAAACCTTGCATTTGGGGAATTAGTGGATGTTCACTGTGCAGTGCCTATGATAATGGTGGCAGCTCTTCTTGTTCTGGGCGGACTTACCTCCCTTAAATTACCCAATACAACCAAAATAGACATTCATTAACCACTGCCTTACACACTATAGTACAAGTTCACTATAACCTAGCTACTTTATCTGGTATAATTTTATCTAGATCCATCTACACTGGGTTTGAATTAGTCCAAATAGTTTCCTCATGTCAATGATAGAAGTTAAAATTTGTTTTAGTATGGCCCCAATCTGAACTGAAAATTTTGGCTAAACATAGTATGGATGAAGAATAGGGTCTTACTGGGGCCCAACATAATATCAATATTCAGTGTGATCCCTTTGAGCTCATCTTCGTTTATACAGCTTGTCCCACAGGGGCTCAAACCAGTGTAATGGAGATTTTCTCTTACCTCAGACAGGTAAATCCACACTTTATCCCAGTGTGAGATTTTCTTGTCTCACCCTAGGGTTGAGACAAGTTGCACATGCTCTTTGTACATTCTGAAAAGAATTTAAGAGTCGTCACTGATATTATTTGAGGAACTACTTTTATGAGGTCATACACATACACTTTAAGCTTAAAACTGAATATCCTGTGTTATCAATCAAGATTAAAATTCAACTCAATCCACAAGTTATTACCAGTATTAGAAATGTATGTAAAATATCAAGAGTATAATTGTATTTGACTTTAATTGGCAAGTACACTAGAATTATTATTTGTGAAAGGTTGAAGTTATAATCATAATCATGATGCGTCTAAAGGCGCAGGCCGCGTCACTATCCTTATGCCCTCCATGAGATTTTGTTTACCCACAATACACTTTGTCTTGCAAAGGCGAAACAGGATAAGAGAAAAATAATCATTCACTCCTTTTAGGATCAAATAGAGTGATCTCTTCCCTTGGGAGAAGATTTTTGTGCTGTCAAACTCGTGTTTGATACCTTGATAATATTCTCCCTCAGGTTGATATCAACTCTAAAGGGGGTGAAAGATTTCATTAGTCTCACAAGGACTCAACCCAGTTTAATAGAGTGTGTTGTCCCACAAGGAATTAATCAGTTTAATAGATTTTGTTGTTTCACAGGGACTCAACCCAGTATAATAGATTTTGTTGTTCTACAGGGACTCAGCTTCATTTAATACAGTTACACTTTGTTGTTTATGATGATATTTTTGTGTATGAATTAAAAAGTGATGAAGTTACTTGTGAAATGGATGTGATATTTTATTTATACAGTATGTCTTATACAATGTATATAATAATTATTTTAATATCAACTCATTAATCAGATTTTAGAATAAATAGTATGGCTTTATTTATTTAATGCATCATATTTATTTTTATCACATATCTGCCTGTTATCCATTGAATTTGCTCATGTGGTATTTTTTGCCTCTATGTAACTAGGGTATATACCCTGTAGTGTTTTTCATTGGCTGTGCCAGTCAGAAATCTATTATGATGTCATAGATTTGATGTTACATCATAAATTGAAAAGGCATAACAGAATGGGTATTTTTGCTTTTGTCCTCCGTACTTTTACCTTTAAACCTATAAAAATGTAACTTTTCTGAGATATGTGATAAAATGTATCTTGATTTTGTCTTCATATGTTATGAGATTTGGTATGAGAAGTGACGGGTTGATAGATATATGATATGATTGTTTGACAGAAATATGATGTGATTGGTTAAGATATATGCGATGTGATTGGTTGATAGATATTGTGATTTGTTGATAGATATATAATGTCATTGGTTGATAGATGTGTGATTTGATTGGTTGGTAAATATGTGTTGTGATAGTTAACAGAAATATATGATTGGTAGATAGATAGATAATGTGATTGGTTGATAGGTATATGATGTGTTTGGTTGATAGGTATATGATGTGATTGGTTGATAGATGTGTGTTGTGATTGGTTGATCGATATATGATGTGATTGGTTGATAAATGTGTGTTGTGATAGTTAACAGAAATATGTGATTGGTAGATAGATAAATAATGTTATTGGTTGATATGTATATGATGTGATTGGCTGATAGATGTGTGTTGTGATAGTTAACAGAAATATATGATTGGTTGATAGATAATTTGATTGGTTGATAGATATCTGTTGTGATTGGTTGGACCAATTGCACTTTGTCATACTGTGTGACACAGTGTTTTACAAGTTTCATGTAAATCATACTTCCTTGTTCCTTGCAATATTTTAGGGTGGTCTGCCTAATTGTTGGTCAAAGTCTTAAAGGTTTTATTGATATCTTATTGATGTACTACAATTTCCTGACCAGTCCATTTGGCTGAACGTTCTATTAGATAGAGGTGACTGGTTTTATTCTATAAACATGTATTACACTCGTGTATAAAGGTTGCACTACTGTTAAAGGAAACTTTAGTGAAGAAAGCCATGTATGTAATCAAATGATTCATTATCTGTGATGACATGTGTATTCAGGTTTGCATTTTCACAAGATTAATTATATACATACACAGCACACAGCATCAATTTTGTTGTCTGTATTGTAAAGAATCAGGACATTCATACTAACGGTCAGAGTCTTGCTTATCTCTCTCAAAAAAGGTCATATGTATGTGTATTATAGCTATTTGTATAAATTTTTCCTTGAGAATTTATTCTCAATGTATACATCCTTACTGATGAAGGAACAGGGTTTTGATTAAGTTGTATAATATGTGATCAATATGTATATATACACAGACATATTAGCCTATAATTATTGGTGAGTTTTGATTAATGTGCAATAGATTTTCTAAACTAGTTGACATGTGATACAGATGCATACATGCTTTAAGGTTTAATTCTGTTTCTAAGCTAAACCATTACTGACACTACTTCACTCTGGTTGCTTAAACTGCTTGGTATCCAAGTGAATGATGCCCATGGGACCAGTCATGTTTTGACTTTTGCATTTGACTTCGATCATTTGGCATGTAATAGTCATCACTTTTCATGTATAAAAAATATTAGACAATGGTAGTATGTTGTCGCTGTTTCTTGAGAAATAATAAATTGATCTCTCAAATTTCATATGTAGATACTATAGTTGTACCCTTTTGATTTGGGGACTTTTTTCAGAAAGACAAAATGGCTAACAGGCAACCATCTTGGATTTGACAGTTGAAGACTGTTTTCATTATTTCTAGAGAGGAATTTTTAAAATTGCATATAATTAAAAGCAAAACTAGGAAAGAAAAAAGGAAAAAGATCCAATTCTTTAAGAATTTACAAAGATCAAACAATGATAGGTGCCACAATATCTCTAGGATTTCATGTTATTCCAAACAAAGCAGTGGCTGAATAGGATTGAAAAGATCTTATCAGGCACTTTATATAGCCAAGGAAACTAATTGTTTGATAAAACCTGAGGTCTGAGCCTCAAGGCCCAATAGGTAATATAAAATTTTACAAGATTGAAATAGGCCTAGAGGACACACTTACATGTGAAAACATTGTAGATGAAATCCAAACCCTTCTTGTATAACATTACAGACAAATGACATGAAAAATACTAACCCATAAATGCTACCAGGATTTACATATACCCCTGCTACTCTGGTCAAATTTGTGATTTGAAATCTTAGCCTTTTAATCATATTTTTGATGCAATCACAGAGCATGAAGAGGCAAAGTCGACCATGACACTGGACTAGATGTTCTAGCTGGCCTTTTTGACTATAGTACCACAACATGGAAATAAATTAAATAACCTTTTAACAGCATACCAGGCATTTGATTGCTTGGTATTAAAGGATTAATACATTCCAGATTCCAGGTTTACCTCAGTGGTATGTATTTTGGGGCTATTTGTTTTATCCATTTCTGGATGGTCACATAGAGCTTTAAGCTGTGCCTTAATCTTAAAAAATGATAAGCATATACTGAATCCCAGCGAGACCAAGTTTTCATTTGAATTTTGGGGTCAAAGCTTGTTACTTATATTTCTCAAAATATGTACATGAACGCAAGTTTCCTAATTCTTTCGGTGAGTACCTTGCAGATCCTCAATAGATTTTATGTACAGGTTTCTCTCAGGTACCAGCTGTGAAGCCTTACTTTTGTTTGTATGTAGGAAGAATAGAGAGACATCAGACAACCTTATTAAATTTCAGAGCTAGAGTTATCTATATCCATTTCTTGGGTAAATTGAAATGTTAAAGTTCCTAGTTCAAAGCTCAATAAATCGTGTTTGTTGTTAAATCTGTGCAAAATCTATGGAGAAGTTTGTATAGAAAATTGGTTAAAGATCACTTGAATAGAGATGAAAGTGAAATTAATTATTTAACTGTTCAATATTTTTTACTGCATAAAAAGCTTGTATAGAAAACGTGATGTCACTTGGACAGAAATTTAAGTGAAATTAATTTTTTAACTGTTTGATTTTTTTTCTGGCCTTGCAAAGCAAAATTGGTTTTTAAAGTCTATAAAATAGAAATAAATAAGCAGTTATCAGTGTATATCTGACAACTAATTTTTACATTCATATGAAATTGTTATTTTTCATGCATTCATCTAAAAAAAACATGAACAATTTTTTTTAATCTACATTCCTTATTAATAATGTATACTTTATCATAAAAGTGATTAAAAACATCAGGAAAAAAAGGATGCATTGTCACCAAGACACGCCTCCCGATCTCTCCAGCTGATGATAAACCGTAGATCTGGTAGAAAACTATTCTGTATGGTGGTCATGTGACCACACACTACAAATTCAAGTGCCTCACTTTTATAATGTAAGAACGTATTTTTATAGCAATTCCAACAAGTATTGGCGTAACAAAATTAAGTGTGATTAGATTGTGTCCGACTGGAAATGTTCAATCTATAAGTATGTGGAAAACAGGTTAGAGAAAACATATTAATATATCTGTATAAATCCACTGGTAAAATAAACAGTTATTTTGTATCCTGACTTTGAGCGTTTTACTCTACATCACTACACACTGTTTTATTACGGAGAGCGTACAAACTCTACACAAGTCAATTAGACCACTGTGTAACAGATGAGATAGGAAGATGTTTTGGTACAACGGGTTGTCTATACGGATCCTGTACCGTATTATAAAATGGACGGTTTATACAGAGATTTGCACCGGTCTTCTTTCGTTTTGTAGATAGGACGGTTCTCGTATGCAGGTACTCTTCCGTTGTGGAAAGCGGACAGTTAACATATC